AATAAGAAAACAATAAATTACAAACAAGCAGAAGTACTTTATATGACAGATGATTTACACATACCAGGTTTTCAGGAGTCTCCTCCCAGTCAGTATTTAGACGACATGTTTGTACAGGATTGTGTCAACTCATCTGCATCAACGCTTAACAAGACTAATTTCTTTAAAGAAAATCTTGCTTGGGATGCACTTATTCTTATAGTAAAATGCTTTTTTGAAAATGATTTACATGTCAGTGATTAATATTGTTAATCAAGAAATCCTATATATTCACAGTTTTTCATTTCTACATGATTTAGAAAGTTTAGAGCTATATACTGCATGATATCAGCTGAAATGCTTATTTAAAAGCACAACCCAGAAAACGTGGAGTTGTCCCCTGGCCTTTGATAAGGAGCTGTTACGCTGAACTGCTGGTTATCAAGCTCTTGTCAAAGGAGCGTTGGACTACAGTCTATGTCTGCTGTGTAGACATTTTATGAATAATGTTGTGCTTCCTGTGTGCTGGTTTTCTCTTTCGGATAAAATACTTGATCGTTAAACACTGATGTTTTAGTCATGAAAAAATCAGTTGTAGCTTTTTCAGGACCATCAATTATACCACAAACATGACACATTAAAGTACTAAGGGTATTGGCATTGAAAAAGCTAGACAAATGTTTGTACTTTTCTGGCATACAAGTTATTAAATCCAATCTGAAATAATATTGGAAAAGAAAAATTCAAGGCCCTGTAACCCCACTTTCTAGTCAACTTCTTACTTTGGTGAAAAAGATGCTGTCATTTACTTCAATACACCAATTAAAAGTGAGCACCAATTAAACATTATGGGCCAGCAGTTGTTGGTTGTTTGCTTATGTTGCCAGGCCACTCATCGGCTACTTTACTCTTAAATAGGAAATTTCCCCCAACTGTTACTTTGATTGTTTAAGTATTATTAGTTTTATACTCTAACCTTAGGGTTTATTTGAATATTAGGTTTGTATTTATTTCAAATGTGTTTTTTCCCTATACATTAAGGGGGAATTTTTTTTTCAACAGGAGTTTTGTTATGTTGCACGGAGCCACCAAGGGCTCAGGCACAGTTTTTAAATACCACCACTAGATGGCATTGAAAACGTTGCTCAGCAATCTTCCTGTGCTTGCTTTGTCTTTATAGCAACAATCTACTTTGAAGACATGCAGACTGAGAGGGTAAAACAAAAGTTATGCTATCATTAGGTTCCCCTCACCAAAATGCACCCAATGTTTACCTATGAAAGCTCAGTGCATAAAAAGAGGGTCAGGGTCGGCCCTGTATCCAGCTGCTACTTTCATGAGGAAATTTGCTTTTAATTCACAAGAGGCATGATCTGCTGGATTCAACTCTGAGTTCGTTTATCTCCCCTGAGTTACATAAGCTGCTTCTCTGATAGCAGTTACACTGTTGGCAACAAGCATTTGAAAACCTTCAGGTTTCATTCTTGATGTGCTGAATTATGGACATGCTATCTGTCCAAAAAAACGGCTTGTCAAGTGAAATCTGTAACTCTGTTGACAGCATTCTGTCCATGCGAACTGCCAGCACTGCAGCAGTGAGTTCGATCCTTTGTATTGTCGTTTGTTTGAGAGGTGCAACTCTTGCCTTCCCCTTTATGAATGCTTCATGCACACAATTTGTTAGATTAATCTGTTTGAGGTAAGTGACAACTCCATATCCACTTTCACTTGTGTCACAAAAATGTTGCAGTTTTGCAGAATTGATGTGACTAAAGTTTCAGCTATTCCGGCCAACATTTTTTATAGGCACTGTCCCATTCACAGTTGAGTTTGCATAGTCATGGGCGAATCTAGGCAGGGGCCAACAGGGGTCAGTGCTCCTGTAACACTGAGCTTGTTCCCCCCTGGAAGAGTGGAATAACACTATACACAGTATTTCACTTGACAACTGTACTCACAATCTAGTATTAAATACTGTTACTGAAACAAATATAAATCATGGTATTTTACGTTGTGGTATTTAATAATGTGCAATATTATTTGGCATAAATATAAATTTGTCTATTTTTCACCTGGGTTTAACGTTCCCGTCTGACAAAACAACTGGCCCCAGTTTGGCCCCCCTCAGTAAAAGTGGTCTAGAACCGCCACTGTGCATAGTTCTTGAAGAATGTTCCTTGCATTGATAAAAAAGACCGGCTAAAAATCTAAGTGGGTCATAAATGGGACTAAAGGTAGACACTGTGCATAGTTCTTGAAGAATGTTCCTTGCATTGATAAAAAAGACCGGCTAAAAATCTAAGTGGGTCATAAATGGGACTAAAGGTAGACAGAATACCCTGGCTAGTAAGAGGCTGGGGTTTCAGGTTGATTTCAGACTTGAAGTTGTCCTCCTCTTTGCACTACTGGATGCCCGGTGGCCTTTCAACTGGCAGGCTGTCCAGGTCTAAGCGTTTCACTTCTTTGGCTCTTTCAGTCTTTGGTATTGACATACACACAGCTCTGCTGTTGCTTATCCTCTAAGTCAATCCAAATCCTCCTTGGGCTCCTCAATATAATGCAGTATGTAGGACAATTACTCCCGACTTTTATATTTGATTTGTTTTCTGATTCACCATCAAACAAAAAGTCTGTTAAATTTAAGTGTTGAAATCAAAAGATCATGAGCAACTCCTAATGATCATACTGTATGTTTTAGCAGAATGCAGGTTGCTTTTCATGTGCAGGTGTTTGTTATCAGGTAACATACAGAGACTAAACACTGTTAGGGTCTACTGTGTGTATTTTATTAGAAATAATACAATACATATTTGTGCCCACATAAATAGCTTTTAAAGTCGACTGACAGCTGAGCAATGACCAGTTGATGTCGTCACGAGACGGGGGAAAGGAGGTCTTATGTGTCTCAAAACATATTTCCACGTTCCCTCTCTTCTGCTTTGTTTGCTCTCGTCTCTCCATGCATCTTAGGTCGGAGGGACTAAGACGCAAGTGGAAGAAATGTGGATGCATTTTAAGATACATTAGAATAATCCACGTCTTCACTCCACTACTTTGCCAGATAATTCGGTCTTGTTCAATTTCCTGCGTGCTTCGCTGCTGTGCTGCTCCTAGTGTCTCTTGTACCTGAGTTTTTTCTCTGCTCAAAGCCCTTGTCATCTCTGAAGCATCTCTCTCTTCACTGGTGCGCTACAAACCAGCCAGCTCCCTGCCTCCACTGCCTGCTTTTATTTTTTCAATAAACACTTTTTATTACTTACCTGTGCCAGTCTTTGTTTAGGGGTTCCCTCTAAACCAGAACCAGAACACATAGTGATAATAGCAGACAATAATGTTCCCTGTGAATCTTGGTTGACTGAAGAGTCCTTGATAGCCGACTGGGGGTAAGTGGACTACTAGTCTAACAAGTCTACTCTTGCTTTGCTCTCACTCTTCCTCTCTGAATCACTGTCACTCTTTTGGTTGCAATCACCCCAACTCCCTAACATAATGGACATAACAGGAAATATTGTGTATTTTTGTGACAAACCTTGCAATATAACTAATACAATTATTTAAAACATTTTGAGTTAACTAACAAACGTAACACATACATTTGAATTTGCACACAAAGCCACATACCACTTGTCATACTAATCCAAATTCAACCCACAAAAAATGATGAATGATCGAACAACGCTAACCTGAATACAGATTTTAAAGTTTCAACATTGAGTATAATTTGAAAACCATGTTTTTGTTTTTTAAATATTTGCAGTCTTTCCGTCGTACTGAAAATGTAACAGTTTCCCCTGTTACAGAAATGTACTTGTTTTTTGTTGTCATTCTTTAATTGTTGAAATCAGCACAATAAAGGCAACACAACAAGCTGTCCATTCTGATTTGAACAATTACACATTTTTAGCCCCCACCCACCCACACACACACACACACACACACACACACACAACCACACACACACACACACACACACACACCACACACACACACACACACACACACACACACACACACACACACTTACAGCCCTACCAACCAACAGGGTTAGAAAGTACACAGAGTTTTTTTATTAAGATAGAAGACCCTTTAAGTCAAGTTTAATGCAAGTTTGTCCATCTTATAATTGTTTGCAGCATTGATTGTTGCTGATGAGGGTTTAATAAATACCCAAAGAGCTCCAAAGCCAGTGAGTGCTTGAGAATAATGAGGAGGTAAGCTGGACTATAACCATCTTCACTGCCTTCAGTCAGACTTTGCGTATCTTGTCCGTAAGGGAAAGTTAAAAATCATTTAAAAGATGCACAACAGGGTCCATTGGAAAAACTACTGTGTGCACATCCAGGCAACATGCATACAGGTGCAGGACAATAAATGCAGTATTTGCAAAAAAAAGAGAAAGCTCTAAACATTGTTCAGCTCCAAATGACAATTTTATATTAATAAGGCAGGTTGGATCTACAAGATCTTCCTCAGGCCTCTTTACACTGTAAATAGACAGTTGGCTGCCCAATCATGCCCCCATTGATATCTTGACGAGTTATAACACTCTTATCATCACATTTTTGTTATTGAATGGTTTCCCTCCAGATAAACCTCTAGATTTTTTGCTGCTCTAAAAACTTAGAGAACAAGAATATAAGCCACATTTTTTAGATGATGTACCTATAAGGAGAAAGTCCTTTTACCTTACTGTTACTATTAGTCATGATCTGTACATTTCCACAATGAAACGTTATCTTCCTCCATCTAATGGCTGAGATGACAAATGCCCTGTAATGAAGACATGCCTAACCCCTATCTGCCTTTTTAAAGTTAAGTGCTGATCAATTTATATTTGGTGTTGTACCTTTCCAAACATTGGGACTCTCTACATGTGTATAATGTCAAATTAAACACATTTAACAAACATATCCTTCCATTGTGTAGTTGAAGTCTTTTTGAAGTTGCTCTGGTGTGTATGTTAAGTTTGCATTATACTGATGCTTCAAAACATCATACAGCAGGAAAAACAGACAAGTAAATTATATATTATATTAAGTATTTTATTGATGCTTTCCACCATTTACATGAAGTTGCCTTTCAATAGAACATTACATTTAAATGTTTGCACACAATAAACCATCTGGATTAAAATGTGGGGGTTGCTATTATAAATATGGTTAAAGAGCTAATTGTCCATACTGCTTTCAAGCATGTGTTTTGAACAGATGGTAGTGTTTCATATGGACTTAGGCCTCAGTCTGTGAGGGTTGCTCACTGTTGGAAGGGAAATGGAAGTACAATCTCAATCCTACCATCACTGACTTTCATGTAGGTTTGAGTCTCCTCTGAAGCTTGCTGCATTAAACCGTAGACAGTGCTGTTAAACTGGTCCACAACATAAATGAACATGTCCATTATGTATTCAAATGAATTGTTGAGCTGTTCAAAATTTAGGGCAGAGATCTGGTCAACAACAGTCTTAAAGACTGTGACAATGTTACGATAGACGATATTGATGTTAATGAACACTGCATCTAAATAGTCAGACTTGACAGAGTCAACAAACTCCTGCGATTTTTCAACAACAGCCTTAAGGGTCTCACCTATCTTTACAAGCATTGTGTCAAGACTTTCCATATTTTTCACAAAATCCACCAGTTCATCAAAGATTTGCTTGTAAGCTGATTTGACCTGATCCAAGACCTGGCCTCCAGTAACCGCATCACCAACTGGCATGCGTACTTTGACATTACTGATCATCTCAACAAAGGATTTAAGGTATATCTCTACATTCTCATAGATACTCTGGATGGTCACTTCTAGCATAGCGGCAATGCTGCTAGTAAGCTTCTTAAGGGCTTCAGGGAGAGTGGTCATCTCATCACTCCCAGGCAGTTTGAACTGGGTCTCTCTAAGGAACTTGATGACAGCATCCAGGAAGGTCTGGACAGTAAGTTGGTACTGGACAATAATGTTCCTAAAGAAGATTGATAGTTGGCTCATTTGAACATCATAGTTGACTGCAGCATCGTAGGCCTCGCTAATTCGGTTAACAACTGTATTCTTTAATGTCTCAATGCTGCTTGTGATTTGGTATTTGTCTGCAAACATTGTGAATGTAGCGATGATGGAAGGGAGTCTCGTCTTCATTTCAGAGAGCATTACTTTGGGTGCCTCCATGTTGTAGGCAATCTGCAGGTTCATCTTATCAGCATCTTGAGGAGTTGATGTGATGACCAAGATGTCAACATCAACCTCTGGAGCAGACTGTTGAACAGAAAAAAATGAAATATTATAGCTTTACTTTTATGATAATGATTGGCTTTCCATTATATCAACACAGTAAATATAAATGATACTCACAGGATAACGACCAAAGACTTTAGCACTCATCTGAGATGGGACTCTGCCATTGAACTTAAGGCCAAGGAAGCCAGTTGATGGGATAGAAACTGAAGCACTGATACCATCTCTGAGAGCAGCATAACGAATGTTCATATCAGTGAAGGTAGGACTGGTGATGTCCACATTCAGGGTATGGCTGGAAAAGGAAGCATTTCAAATGATGATCAAATGATGATCACTATCAATTAACAACCTGATATCTATTAGGAAGGAATTTGGTAAATGAACATTGAAATACATGTTGAAGTTGAACGTGTCAGAAAAAAAATTCTAGATTAGCATTTACTTGTCATAATTTAACATATTTTTGAACAAACAGTTTTACCTCAAGGCTTGGCTTATAACATGGTTTACATTCATGGTCAAGTCAGCGTGTGTCAGGACAAGCTTGCTGATCCAGCTCAGAGCTTCATCCTCGTAGCTCGTAGTGGTTGAAGCTATTGAATGAAATAATTTCTCTTAGATTAAGTGCTCAACAATGCTTGCATTGAAAAAAGTAATTTGTTAAGGGAATTTGATCAACTCACCATCCATGTCATATTCCAAGAACAAAACCACTGAGGTGGCAGATGACTTCATGGTGACTTTGAAGACAGGAGCATCACCTTCTACATCAGCTGCCAGGTTGGTAGTGTACAGTGGGCTGACAAACTTGGCATTTGTTGAAATCTTCTGCTTGGCAGCTGTTACTTCGGCAACAGTTTTCCCAAAGATGGTGAATTCACCAAGGTTGGTTGGCTGAGACAAATCAATCTCAATATCAGCAGTCAATGAAGAGATCGGTGCAAGATCAACTGTAGCCTGGACAGTGTGCTTCCCATTGGTGTTAAAGTCGAACACATTTGCCTCGTTGTTGCCAGTATACTTCAGTACCGCATACACACGGCCAAGGGAGGCTTCAACTTCAAGACTCTCATTTACATCCATGCCAATGACTTTGGTGGTGCCATGGTTAAACTTGGAATCAGCGATAACCTTGAAAGTGGATCGTAGGCCATCGGTATTAAGATACATAGTAGCCTCATTATCAAGGACTCCCAAAACTAGATAGTCTTCAAGTACTGTACCATCCATATTTGCCTTTGTGGATGACTCCACAGAAACATACTCAAAGGTTCCCTCCAACTTCAGATTGTGGTCCGCCTCTGCTTTTCCAACAGCCTTTATCACTGGAATATTGCAACTGCCCTTCATTGTCAAGGTGGACACAGCATTTAATTTGGTTTTGGTGTCTGCAACCAGATTTTGGTTTGCTTCCAGGTTGAGAATGGGCAGAGCAATCTTTGCGACTGTAGCCACAGACACAGCAGTTTCAAGGGTCTCAGTGTTAACACTGACTGTGCTGTCATGAGTTCCTTCAATGTGCTGATTTTCAAGGGACAGGGAATTGGCCAGCTTGATTCCTCTCTTTGTGGTGAGACTGGTGGTGCCATCAAGTTTGGCTTTCAGACTCTCAAACACAGAAGCTGTGGTAGCTCCCAGACGGAACACAATATCATCCTCAGCAAACAGTCCAGCATTGGCATTCAAATTAATGATGGCAGACTTGAAAGACAGATCTGCGATCAGGTTACCCACAGAGGGGATCTGGATAAGACCCATATCAACAAGTGGGGCAGCATGACTCTTCTTGTATACAACTTTGGCATCTACATCTACAGTCTGCTCAGTGGTAGTCAAAATGTCCTTCAATCCAGTTTCCTCATATAAGTTCAGATCACTGATAGCTGGGGTATGGATATCGACAAAAGGCAGGTCAAGCTCAGGAATGCTGATGGTGAATGTCAGGAAATCAAGATTTGCCTCACTTTCACAGGCAACAAAGATGCCAGCCTCATTTTCATTATTGTCAACTGTGAAATTGTAGGACATTTTGTACTGATTTAGACGAGCCAGAGCTACTGTGTTAATCTGTTGGCTTTCAGGTTTTAAGATGGCAGTGTAATCATTCTGCAGATCTATCTTAGCAGTAAGAGTTTCAAAAATGTTGACCCTGGCATTTCCTTTGTTTTGGAATTCAAAGACAATCTCCACAGGACGGGCTACAATGTTGATTCCATTGGATAGGACTCCATTGACTGGCCCATACAGTTCTGTATCATGATTTGCTTTCAGCTCAACTTTAAGGTCATAAAGGTTGGCATGTCCAGATGCAACAAAAAGACTGTTTTTAATAACTGGTGCCTCTGCCTCATTGCGGACATCAAACTTGAAGTAGGTGAAGGTGCCTAACTCTGCTGTAATTTGCTGTTTCATCTTTAAGATAGTAGAGTCTGTGTCTCCAGAGAAGGTAAGAGTGACAATGCTGGGAGTGAGTGACAAATGCAAGTTGCTCTTGTGGGTGCCATCTTCAGCATTTAACTTGCCAGTGCCGGAATTGTCTGCTGTAAGAGTCAGGGTGTAGCCATCTAGACGAGCAACTGCCTTCTGGTTTACATTGGCCTCATTTCTGACATTAAAAACTGGGAGGTTCACTAAATGAGTGTAGGTTGTATCAATAGAGGCAGACATTCCTCCTTCCATAGCAATAAAGGCTGTGTTCATAAATTCAGCTGAGTAAGGTGAAGTAGTAACCTTTACAGTGGTTTTTGCTTGGGCCTGGGCTGACAGGCCATAGAGAGTTACAGATGCTTGATGATCAACTCCAAGAAGAAGATGGCTCAGCTTAAGAGTCTCTGCCAAAACAATACGACTCATTTTTGGGATTGCAAGACGAGCAGTGGAGTCAACATTGTAATTAAGAATTTCAATATTTGGAGATGTGCCCTGGGATGAAAAGAATCCAGTGAAGGTAGGTGTCAGTTCGCTATCAGTTGAGTTCTGGAACTCACCAGATGTCCTCATTGTGTAGACGGGAGTGCTGAATTTGATTTCACCATAGAGTTTACCAAAGCATGGTACCATGATCTCACTTGGAATGGTTGGCAGTTTGATCTCAGGAACCTGAAGAGACTTGACAAGTTTTTCTAGAGGAACTTGTGGGATAGTAGGGAATGAGATCTGAGGAAGAATTATTTCTGGGAAGGTTATCTCTGGCATGGACGGAAGGTAGTTCATAGTCAGGTCTCCAAAGAAAGCATCCATGTCCAGCATTTTGATGTCAAAGTTTACAATGAAATCAAGAAGGGCAATTATTCTCTGCTTGATGTCATCAATGGAAATTGTGTCAGCTTGTACTGTGTAGGAGCCCAGGATGGTGAACTCAGGAATGTCAACCTGTGTTGGGATTTCAAACTCTTGAAGTTTATCCATGCTGAACTTCACTGAAGGCACATTGAGATCAGTGAATGGAATGCTGAAAGATGGCGTGTTCAACTCAAGCTTCTTTAGTTCAGTAAAGAGCCCATCAATGATTTGCTGAATCTCGCTGATGATTTTTTGATCAGGTGTCACTGTCTTTATCATCTCAACTATATTAGTGAACATGTTAGAGACGATGGTAAAGACCTTTGTATAGTATTTGCTCACAAGGTCCAGATAAGATGTGATCTCAGCTTTGACGTCGAAATTTGTTATTGCCTGCTTTACAAATTCAGCAAATCCCTGAAGGTTAACAAGCACATCCTGGTCAATGAAATCCTTAAAAGATTTAAGTACCTCTGCAACTCGGATTTCTCTTAAACTTTCCATAAAGCCTTGAACAGAGGACAGGAAAAGGTTGACTAGATCCTTTGTTGCCTCAAGTTTCTGCGGGATTTCAAAAATCCTGATCATCTCATTCACACAATCTGTGAAGAATCTGATCAAACCATTGACAGATATCACAAAATCATTATAATCCAGTGAATTCAGATCTTGCACTACTTTATCAATAACTGTGTTTAGTTGTTGAATCATATTCTGAACATCAGCTGTTTTCAAGGAGTTGATGGTGGTCTGAAGGACTTTCATAAATAGTTTAGGAATGTTTAGATCCTTTACCATTTTTGTAACAGTCTTGATGGTTTCCTCAATTTTGAATTGCTTGATGAGCTCCACAACCTTTTCCAAGATAGCTTGAACCTTTTTGTCAGCCTCAAACCTGACCATCAGCTCCCTCATCTTGGCATAGAATGTGTTGATCTTACCTAGGATGTCAAGGTCCTGAATGATTTCTGTGATAATCTGTGTAACACCACTGAAAATCTCTGTGGGAATCTGACTCACCAGTTTATCAATGCAAGCTTTAAGATCAAGAGATGAAATGTAACTCGTCAGCTCAGCAACAAATACTTGCACGTCAATGGCTTCCAGACTTTCTTTCATAGAACCCATTGCTGACTGCAGTTTAGCCTTGATTTCATACTGGGCTTCAATATCATTCAGGAATGCAATGCTGCTGTCCTTCAGTTTTTCCAGGTCAATCTGCTGGATCATCGCAGAGACAGTATCAATCATGTACACTACCATGGCCTTGATGTCATATTCCTCATTAAAGGCAATCACCTGCTGCTGGATTGTCTGAATAAGGGTTTCAGGTAGGGAGCCACTGACAATAATCTCCTTAATCATAGAAGTAAAGTGTTGGATGAAAACACTGAGATCTGACAGCAATTTCTCAAAAGATGCCTTGAGATTTATCAACAAGGCTTCCACATCCTCCATGGAGATAACATATTCTTGTGAAAAATCACTTAAATACTGCTTCATCTGAATAACCCTGTCCTCTATATTCAGTTGAGAAACAAATTCATCTAAATATTGTGGAAGAGCCTCAAGTCTTTCCTTTATCTCCTCATTGTTAATGAAACCTTGCAGTGCCTCTCCAGCATACACAACAAAGCCCTTGATGCTTTCCAACAGGGCAGGCAGATTTTCAACAAGAGGGAACTGAATTATATGACTGTCTGTGTTCTTGTCATACTTGAGGAAGCCTGAGATGGCAAATTCCTGGTTCTCTGTGGAGTCAGTGTTGAGGATGTTTGTGAGGAAGGCACTGGAAACCTCAATTCCCATTCTTTCAGCAGTGTTGTAAATACTCATGTCCTGGTTAAAAGCATGCTCATTGACCTTTGATTTCATTCTGAAACTGGTCTTCTGCTCTTGGAGTGATAGAACATTATCCAACTTGTTGTCAAAGGTTGTCTCAAGGGAAAAGCCATTATCAAGCTGCTGGGCAATGATGCTCTGCTTTCATGTGAGCTAGCGATTACCAGGGGCTGTGCTTTAAGGAGGAACTTGCCATAGAGCTGGGCACTGTGCTTTCCATACATGGTCATGTCTCCATCAGCGTTAAAGATGGCATCAAGGTTGAAATCAAAAGGAATAATACTGCAACGGATGGTGTGGTCAAAGCGCATTGGCTGTGAGTTGAAGCGAGCATCATTGGTAATCCTGGCAGCAAGACCTATAACTTCAAGCTCAGTGTTTTGGTTCATGTGTGTTCCAATGAACTTTCCAGTAGTGCTGCATTTTGCAATTGCAGCCATATCAGCATAATTTACCTGATATGTGTGCTTGAGCTCTTCCTCACCATAGATAGCTTTCAGGCTACCAGTAAGATCAATTTTGTAAAGTTCTGCCTGTAGCTGGGCCTCATTGATGAAGTTGGCTGTCAGAAGTCTCAGGTTGTTGTTGACATTTGCAGAAGCTGTGTAGGGTTTCAGGTCGATGGTGATATCATGAGTGTAAGCAGCATATTCACTTGCAGTGGCTTCAGCCTTTGAGTTGAAGTCAAGGCTAGAGAGTGTAATTGTCAGAGTGTTGGCATTATCAACCTTAATGTCACGCATAACAGCCTTGTTGATTATAGACAGAGAAGCCTTTGAAGCATCAAGCCCAGCATTGAAGGTGTTTTCCAGTGTAAGGGGGCTCTGAAGGGTTGTGGTTCCACTTGTTGTCAAACCATCCTTGTTCATTGTCAGAGTAGCCTTGTGAGTAGCCTCATTCTCAAGGAGCTTCATGGTGGCATCACTGTTCACGGTCAGACCATTGTTATTCAGGGAAGCAGTCATTAGAGAGTAAACACGGTTTTCAGTGTAGTCTGCATTTGTCTCAATTCTCAGAACGATTTCGCCTGCACCAGCAGAGGCCTCAGCCTGATTGCGAATTTTCATGCCAAGAGGCATGGCATTTGTATCACATTTAAGTGACAGCTTGCTATCTTTGAAGGAAAGCTCAGCAACATGGGTCAGAATGTCTTCAAAGGCATTGGTGTTGGAAACCACTGACAGTTCACCATTGGCAAGGGTTGCTGCAATGGTGTTCTGGGCCTTGACAATCGTGGAGTCAATCTGAACAGTGGAATCAATCTTGGCCTCTGGCTTGAATGGGGAGATTGTGAATGACTGGGTTGAAATGGTCTTGCCATACATGGGTCCAACCTTCAACATTCCTTCAAGGTTGCTATCAGTAGAGATTTCTTCAGTGTTGATTCCTGCCATACCAGTGTGCCCTAGCACAATATTGAGACCGAGGGGGCTTGTGACTTCAATCTTGTTGCTGGTTTTCAAATTAATTTTGTCTGTGATGGTGGCTTCTTCGACAATATTAATACTAGCCTCAATGAATTTATGGGCGAAAGTGCTTTTCAATTCAGCCTTGATGGGATCAGAAGTGGCCAACATTCCAGAGCCTAAATAACAAGACAAGAAATAGGAGGTTGTAAACTAATAATTGCATTGTGTGAGTATTTTCTGCTAATTATTTTTGTGATTGATTTACTGATATACAATAACTCTCAGGAAAATATAAATAATAAAGTAGTTTAGTGTTATCAGAGAAATCATTAACATTGAAACTGAAATAAAGTCCTCTATTCAAGTCCAACTGTATTTGTAGAACATAACAACCTGACAATTACTAAGAAATGAATAGCATCCACTACATACCGTCAATCTTTACTGAGAGAATGTCGAGTGGGGAGGTTCCTTTCAGGCCAAACTTAGCTGAGTAGCTTGGTGTTTCCGCAACATCTTTTCCGGCAGCGATTGAGGCCTCGATGTTGTAAAGGTTGCTCTTCATCAGAGCTGAAACTTCAGCTTTTCCAAAAAGAGGAATAGCCAGAGTAAGGCTCTCAGGGACAACAAGCTCTGGGATAGGAATTTCCATAGAGACAATCTCCAGTCCAAACTGGGGCAGAGAGACAGTTGGTGTGGTCAAGGCTGGTGGGAAGTTAAGCTCTTCTGTTGACTTTCCACCAAGAGGAAGAGGGACAGAAATGATGAAGCGCTCATTGTTGAAGTAGTAGACGGCCTTCGCCTCACTGTTAAAAAAATATAAAATGCATAAATGTTTTGGAAAACTATTCCATGTGTTTCAAACATAGTCATTGAGTTCTTTACACTTACGTATTCAGGTACAGTTTTTCTGGCAGGGAAATCTCAGGCATATCAGGCACTCTGAAGTTCTGGATGTAAGGGAAATCGGCACCATACTGTTCCATGTAGTTGTTTGCCGCCTAAGAAAAAATATCATAGTTTTATGCATATTTCAAAATGTTACCAAAATTACATGAATGACTGTTAAATCCATGATTCATACCTCCACAAACTTCACGAAGATGTGACGGACCTTCATGTCAGTCTGCCCGACCTGCATGTCAAGGAGCTGGTTTCCATACTTGTCAATGATGTCTGCTTTTGGCAGGCTGGTTGTCTCAGTGTTCACATCAGACTTGACTTCAACCTCAATCTTGGTGCCATCTGCAAAAACAGCACAATTTCACTAGCTGGAAGGCATGATGATTTGTTTTAAAGTTAAGACCATGAGTTAGAGTCTTTTTTTTTTAACAAAATAAAAGTTGATATTGTCAAAAAGCCAGGTTTTTCAACAGGAATGTGTCTAAATCTAATACCAGTAGCATTTTGAGATGGTTAGATGGCATAAGTTTTGAAATATCTATATTCATTTCAGTCAAACTGTACCTTATTTTTGTGCCCATAAATTGCCAACATTCTTGTCACTTTTATATGACCCCATTTTGTATATATTCCATTTTTCACCAATGTCTGTCCATGGTTATATTTGAGTTATGAAGGTGTATAAACCTTTCCAAGAGCTTTAAATTAAATTGCAATAATATATTATGAAAAACAGCATGACATTTAAATTACCATATTTCATTGCTATTTCCTGCTCAGATGTGGCATCCATGACCTTGATTTCACTCTTGAGCCCCAATTCCATTTCTTCATCACGTTTCAGGTTTGCTGTGACAGTGGCGTCAGCATTGATTGAGGGAACAAGAAGTTGGACTTGAAGCATACCTTCTTTCATGGCCATAAGTCTGAAAAACATACCAGGGAATTAGTGTGCTCTCAGTTATCATTGATACATTCATTTTATATCTAGAGAGTTTGTAGCTGATTTCTTACTTGGCACGGCCAACCAGGGACAACTGAGGGATGTTCTTGTTTATTAAGTCAAGAGAGATGGAGTGGGTTCCTTTGCCCTTGGTGTTTCCATCAACAACACCCAGCCTAAGTCCAGCCTCAACATCGTAGTCAGGGATCTGGATGTCAGCTGTGATGACATTCTTCCTTCTGTTATATTTCATCATTGCTGTGGCTTCAGTTGGCTCTGCACCTGTTGTTGACCAGCCAATAGATTAAAATAAAACAATTCCATTCAAAATAACTTGATCAAAATTAAGTTTATAATGAATAAGAATAATTTTCAATGCATTACCTTCAGCTCTCAGAACACATTTTAGTGAGTCAACCTTCTGCCGGCCCTCTTCTCCCTCCCTGAGGAGCTCGTAGGCAATGGTAGCTGTATACTCAGTGACTTCACCAGTTGGGTGTAGTTCGATGACAAATCTATGAAAATTATGAAATGAATTGTTCAATATTCACTTGTATTTCATTTTGATAAATGAAATGCTTTGTCTGTGGTTTAGAAAGTTTTGCTCACTTGCTGTCTCCAGTAAAGGGGAAGTAGGGGGTTGTCTCTTGAGAGAAAGCATCAGTGTACTGTAGAGCAGTGCAGTATTTCATTCCAGCGAAGAAGGGAGTGCACTCACTGACATCAACCTTGTCCGTCACTGTAGGAGGGATGGTCAACTCTGCTGATCCAGTCACTGCCACCAAGTTGTTACTATAGTCAATTGTAGAAAAGTATTAGTTTAAGATTGGCTAATTCTAAGTGAAGACATTTATTGTGGCAGTTAGGTAAACAGGATCCCCTGAATTACTTTATTCATGCTGTGATTACACTGATAAAATTATTTGCACTTTGGTTACAAACAGAGCCCTAACTTTTTCCACTCGTTCAAACCTCCAATCATAAAGCAAACCCCAGCTGTAGGTTTCTTTTGTCATTTACAGTGTTTGTGTTCCCCATCATAGCGATTTGGGGGCAAAAATTAGCAGAATAACTTAAAGTTTTACCCAAACTTACGTTATTTTGACGAGCTTCATTGGATGCATTGGAGCAGGGATGGTCAGCTTGACATTGTCACGGTCCAGGGAGATCTTGGCACTGAGACCACTCTCGTGGAATATGCTGGTGTGCATCTCTAACCCAGACTTGACATATTCAGGGATGTATGAACCAACCCTAGTGTCAAACTCAATGCCAGCAGAGGGCATGAAGGTAATTTCATTCTGTGGAAATAACAGCAGACATAGGGGATATGTTTTAATTTGTTTTGCTGAAGTCTTTATCATTAGATGTCTGTTTAACCTAGACATAGTTTGATTCAATACCCACCATGTCAGGAGCAATCTTGAGTCCACCCTTGATGCCAGGGGTGAAAGTACCAGACAGTGCAATCCTCAGAGGCACGCCAGTGGTAGTAGGCAAGAAGAACTCATTGTCCATGAAGATGTAGTGGGCAAAGATTGTGTTGTCAGACTTGGTCATCAATGCCTTCACAAGCTGATGCAAATGAAAACATATATATCAATTTCAAATCCTTAATATTGTTGACATTTTAAAATTAATTTGGTTTCATTGTTAGTGAAACAAACAAAAACCTTCCTTACATCAGTTGGGAACATCTTGAACATGCTGTCAATCATCATGACGGCAGAGTAAGCCATCTCCTCCATTTCATTTGTCTTCAGGTATCCCAGCTCATTACCCAAAAGTCTCAGATAAACCATTGCCTCAGGAGACTCTGCTGTCTGGAGTTCCCTCACAAGTTTGTTGAGATTGCGTCCAATGTCTCTCATCAGGTTCTGGGTGGCCTAAACATAGAGGTTCACTGTCTATTATAAGATATCCCTTATGGAAACAGTCATCATAATTACATCTTTTTTTACATAATGTGAGCCAAACAGATTGATCTGCATACCTGTCTCTTCATCCTGTCCTTCTTCAATGCAGGCATCATGTTCTTAAGGATCTCATTGACTCTGAATGGCATGTTGTCAGAGACAAAGTACATTGTCTTCAGGGCAATGTCAGGGAAGAATCCATTCTCACCAAACAGGGCTTCAACAGTTGGCTCAAAGCCTTTGCCCTCCATACCAATCTACAAAGGGTACACATTTTTCAGTCACAACTTAGCTCATGACAATGTCATCTTAAAGCAAAATTTTGCATTTACATTGCTCAAGTTGCCTACCTCCATCATGTCAATGTCATATCCAAAGGCCTTCAGAGTCATTTCAAGCATGACCTCCTTCGGTAGGTAGCTGGTACCCTCAAAGATCATGTTCCCCTCCACAGATCCGATCTTGTAGTTGCGAGAAAACTTGGTGGGATCCATTGTGGTTCCAATTTTGTTGCCTTGCAGGGCATCAAGAATTCTACGTCTCAGTCTGGGGGAAATAAATAAATAAATGTTACTGTACATCTGTTGATGCTGATCAAATCAAGACATCACTGTGCAATATAACTCAATCTTATTGTATAGCGCCTATTCGTAGCAAATTTTATCTGAAGACACTTTACAAAAGAGCAGGTAAAAGACCTTACTCGTTGTTATTCACAAAGAAATTTACAAATAACTTGTGACGCAACAAATTTGAAAACTACAAATATAAACCTGAAAATGCTTATTTCTTACTCAAGGGTCTCTGGCTCAGTTGAGGACAAAATGTTGGTCACATGAGAGATCACAAAGCTCTTGACTTGTTGGTCCTGCTCATTGGGCAAAGCAGCCGCCAGCTGTTCCAGCTCAGTGGGCATTGGGTCCTTCATCAAAACCAGATATGCAGCGATACGCTTTTGCATGGGACTAGCACCGTCCAAAAGCACCTGAATGAGAACCTCTCTGCCCTGTGAATAAACAAGATTTGTAAAATTAATATATAGTCAATTTTATGGTCCACACAACCTTTGAAAGCCTTTGCACAATTTGACATGCCTCCGCAGGTACGGGGGTGAGTCTGTATGCTTGGATGGCGGCCTCCTGCACAGCCAGGGAAGCTTCAGGTTGGTTCACACACTGGATCACAGCAGCTCTGAGTGCAGGACTGGCAGGTCCAACAGCTGCGGCCATGTTTCCAATAACCTAGTATCAAAACAAACATTATAATTCCATCAATGGGGGAACATTATTATGGCTGTTCCAATATATTCCTTTGTTGCTCTGCCTTCTTATATAATAAATAATAATATTTTTTCACAAAATATATACAACTATCCTTACGTATAAGAGCATGGGAAAACAACACTTAACCTGGAAGTGAATAGTACAATTGAACAGGCTCAAGAATAACTGAAATTCTGTTGTATATTTTATAAAAATTGAATGCAGGTGCTTGTGCTCCTTCTTTTTGATCCTATAAATAATTTCCTCTTTCATCAATTGGATTAGACACCTACCCTCAGTGTCATGAAAGTGGTGTCTTTGTCACCAGTGCAGTCTCCTAATTGGGCAGCCATGAACTCAGCAACAGAGTGTATCTCAGGGATAATTCTTTCCTCAGCTTTGTAGAATCTGTTCCACAAATAAAACATATTTAACACATATAACCTTTGTAGCTCACTGTACAAAAAGGCATAGACATTAACTGAAATATTAATTATTTAATCCGGAATATAGTTTGGTTGGATTCACTCACCTCTTGACAACATTGCTCAGGGCATACATGATGGGCTTGCTGGGCTTGTATTTGGCCATCTCGAGCATGTCATTGATCAGCAGGGGAGAAGGATTGGAGACGAGTCCCATCGCAAAAACACCAGCATCAACCTCAAGTGAAGAGGTGTCAAGAGTCCTGAAGATCTGCATGATGGCACTGCTGCACTCAGGGGTTCCACACTGGGCGAGGACCTGGTAAGTCAGGACACGGGACACGGCAAGGGCTTCAGGGATGGCGGGACTCAGGGTCTCGGTCTTCATTCCACGGACGATGGTGACCAGCTTTTGGAAGAGGTCTGCCCTCCTGTCACTCTCATTCTCAGGCAGAGTGGCCAGTTCTCCGAGGAGTTTCAGACCTGCATCTTTATCCTGGATAACACTCTTGTCCTCAACAGTCTCCATGGGAAGACCCTTGACAATGTTACCTATGATAAAGCAAAAATCTATATTAGTTCATGTTGCTTTCAGAGACCAATTACCCATAAATGAAACCAATGAAGTTTAAACAAAGGACGTACTTGTTTCAAAGACTCTTTCATTGTAAGGAGTAACCTCAACCAGAGTCAGTTCTTGCTTTCCAACATTGGTAACTCCATATTCTCCCCTGTAAGAAGACAACATGGTTAGAAAAGCATAGATATCTTATACAAGACATTAGACTGAAGAATGGAATAAATCACATTTTCTTATACAAGGTAAGACTCACTTGTGTGAGAAGGGAATGAGGATGTGTTTCTCAGTGCAGGAGCCAGAGGTCATATGTTTCTTCTCATTGTCAAACTTGTAGTTGCAGTCCTGTGTGCTTGTGATCAGCTTGGACAGAGGGTAGTTCTGAAATTGACCAAAAAATATTTGATGAGTGTGCTGTAGGGGATTTATTAATACAAAAGATTTAAAGAGTTTGCATTAGGCTTCCAAGTTATTACTTGTCAATCACAAATAGTATAGAGTTCAGAAAAGTCATTTCACTTGGATTTTTATGCAATAAAGTTAGAGTTTCCAGAGCAATGCCACCTTTATTCTTTTCAACAGCCAAATCACTTTCTACGCATAGATTAACTTGAAATTATTTACTTTCCAAACTTTATTTACAAGATTTAATGTTTATTTAAAAGGTTCATGTGGCTACTATGGACAATAAGGTTTGGATGTCTTACCATGCCACGGATAAGTGCCAGAGGGCTGGTGTAAGCTCTAAGTGGAGCAAATTTGTCGCATCTGGACAGATCCCTGGTGAGGCTGATGTCAGTTGCAATGTCCTCTCTTGCATTGACAGTGTAGAAGGTCTTGCACTTGCCGTGGATTGTGGGCTGAGATAAATGATTAGAGAAAAATATATACATTTAGAATATAATACAGTTATTTGTAAAACTAGAAATAACAGCATGGTTCTCTTTGTGAATTCTCAGTTAATAAATGTACCATGTTCTTGTTCTTCTCCTCTTCCAGCAGAGGCACAGCCAGGGCAGAGATGATACCCCTCTTGATGTTCAGGATGGTTGTTGTCTCACCGTCTTCAGGGTACAGTTTCACATCGTGCACACCCTCAACCACAACCTTCAGAGGATATCTGAAAGGAAATGCATGAAATTTGAATTCAAATTTTCATGGGCCAAATCAACAAAAGTATCAGGTTTGAGATTGAAGATTTAAAGAAGATATCAATGGAATTACAAACTTGTACTGGTTGTCTACAGAAAAAAAAAAGAAACTTTCACAATAACCTCCAAAAGCAAATGTATGTCATAGCTCGATGTATGCCCATGAAACTAGAAGTGTCATAAAATAGGAAAACTGTCAGTGTAACTTACCTCTCCATTTCAGCAGCAAAGGCGTCAGAGCCGGCAGCAGGACCGAACACAGCGTTGCCCTCTGCGTCCATGTCGACCACCTCACTCAGGCTACAGCCAGTGGTGCGGACGATGTAACTACAGGTCTGAGGTACTTCAATTTCAACCTGTGAGATAAAGAATCGTTTTCATTATTCATCCTCCATGAAGATGAAATGAGAAAAATTCTATTTGCTCAAGAGCTTTCTCATACCGTGCAAGCGCCTTTGGGTCCGTTCTTAAGCTGTGAGGCTCCGGTGATGGCATTCAAAGACTCAGCTTCATACTGGTATACATACTTGTGCAGAGTCTTGTACCGTTTGGCCACTAGATAGGAAAAATCAGTGGTGAAGGCATTCTATTAACTCCTGTTTTAATAATGTTAGTGCTCAGACTTGATGTCAACACAAAGATTCATTCAATAAACATGAGCATGATCGTAGAAGGTAAACTTTTGTAACTTACGCAGGCAGGTTGGCTGATCTTCATCTTGGGCAACTGTGGAAAAAATATGACATTTCAGATTTTTAATGATTCTTATGAAATAGCTAACAAAAAGGCATTAAACATATATCCTTTGTTATAAAGATCATTGGATCATGTTTCCACTTATAAGTAAGGACATTTAAATTTTATTTCAGATCTTTGTATTTTAAATTAAATTAATCAAACTGTTAAAGGTTTAAATAAATGCAATGCAGTTTAGAACATGTTCATTTCATCTTTGCTGCAAAACAGGAGTGATCACATTAAACCAAATAAGAATTTAAAAAAAACTAAAAATGTCCAAAAAACCCTTTCAGCCAGGTACGATTACGGAGAAACATTTCCTTAGAATTACTCACAGGCCAAGGCAGATGTGCTGAGGAGCAACAACAGGCAGAGCTTAGAATCCCCCATGATGGGTTCGTTGAAGCTCTCTCCCTTAAAGTCTGCGAGTACTCAGACGAGACTGATTTCTTAGCTCCAGCTCGGGGCTTTTATATCCTCAGCTGGGCTCTTTCAGACGACTAGGAGGCACAGACAGTGCTTTGAACGCTCAAAGTCCACTCCACCCTCCTGTGTGGAGGGACAAAGGCAAAAGGTTTAAAGGGATAGTCATGTCACAAAGCACAGGCTTACAAAACTGATCAATTCTGGTAAATCTTGAAGAACTACTTTTTTAAAAAAAATATGTCAAACATGCATTTTTTAAATATTTTGATATACAACATACTTTACAATATATATTATGTTGGACTTAAGCAAATTAAAAGTAACTTTTATCATATACAGATTGTTTTTATAATGCTGCACTGCCTCTGTTAGCATTGATGATGTGCAGTCATGTGTAGGCCTATTTCTTCTTCTTGTCCATTTAGCAGAAAGAACAACATTTGCATCTGTTAAATAAAGAGTTTCTTTATTTTATTGTATTTTCTACCATTGACATGTTTTCATTGCAAAGACTCATGCACAAGCTTAAGTGCAAAGGGACCCGAAATCTTGGTAAAATATTTAAAATGCCGCTGGATACATAGTCGCAAGTAATTAAATCTTTAAAACTAAAAATGAGGTGTCAATGTTTTAAACGGCCGTGGTCCAGTAGAAATTCTGCTGTAAAAATGCAAAGTCAATCGTTGAATTTTACAGGCTTTCGGCACCATTGTGAATTAGGCCATTGATAGACGCTCATTAGCAAACACTGAGTGATCATGGTGTGCTCCAAACACAAAGTCCCAGCTGCAGATGAAAAGGTGATAAACTTATCAGCTGCTTTATCCCTTAATGATATAGACTAGAAAGAAACCATTATAAAGCAGCATTTTCTCTATTATGTAAATGTCAGCCTAGTCTCTTAGGTTGTAACATTTTATTTAGTTATTTATCAGGTACAGTTAACATTAATGTCTAAGAGATACCCAGTGGTCACTTTTCGCAATCATTTTGTATTTTTCTTGTTAAAACAAATTACAGGACACATTATAAATTTACTCTGTTTCTCCAATCAGAATGTGGCTAGTCCTTACGGTAAAAAATGATTGATGTTACTTACAGCAGAGTACCTTGTAAAAGAGTTGGATGATTGTTATTGCTTCCACTTCCATAAGTCAAAATGAAAAAAGTGAAAACAAACTCGGATTAGGGTTAGATGATGAACTTTGATCTACAAATATTCAAAGGTTCATGCGGAGTTTGATTTTCTGTTGGAAGCACTGTCCACTTTTTGGCAGTGCATACCTAAACAGCTATAACTCTGGATTCACTGACGCTTTTTTAATTTTGTCAAAACCACAGTCATATGTCATATTACTTTTTAACGACCTGTCTGTTACATTCATTGCTATGCAAAGTTTGTGAGACTTTTGGTTAAGTTTTTTTTTTTTTTTTTTTTGCACATCGATCACATAACTACATTTGAACATTGTGTAATGGCCTTTAGCAATATATGGCCATCAGCACCATTTAGAAGTTTGTCAGATACTGAGAGTGTTTGCACTGATAGACAAGTACACAGGTTGAGTCCAAAGGGGGCCTGAGCCTCTGAACACTGAACGTTCCATTTTTATTAGGATATTTTACTTAAGCTTGAACCCATCATGACAGATTCTCACATATTTAAAAACAGATGTATTTTAATACGACGGATTAATGAAATAGTATAGATAACCAGTCTGAGGTTTTACCATGCCAAGACTTAATATAGTTGAGCGATGCGTCCTTATGCTCTCATAGGGGAGGACACTTTCAGGGATCAAGCCTACAGATAATTTTAGCTCACAGCCACACACTAGATGAGTCATACAGTACATGTTGTAGAAAAAGGTATAGTGTGTATGTTTTGAGTGTATATCATCCGGGCGTTTCTGCCAAGCACCAAAAATCATCAAAGATAACACATGTGTATGTGCTCTGTAAACCTTTAAGTTAGTGTTAGTTTAAAGTGCACAAGTCATTCGAGTGTTTTAAGTGAGCCATAGGTTTTAATTAGCTATACCCCGGTCTTGGTCCTAGTTTTAATTGTGAAGAATAATTTGATTGTGATTTCCATGTTAATGGGGTTACTAGCAGAATGCAATATAAGCATTTATGGAAGCTCATTGCACAAAGTCAGCACCTTGCACCTCTATATCCAGTGCATCACTTTTTAAAATTGATATTCAGACCATAGTCTAACGTTACTATGCAAGAGTGCAGAGTGCGTTATCCTCTCTGATTTTTTTTACATTCTATATTTGTCTTGGCTGCACCTGACCAGCTTCGATCTCCAGCTGATTCGACCCAAGAGAGCGATTTAAACCCTCTGACCCACATCACATGAGACCGACATGTGCATTCCCCCAGCAGGGCAGCTGTAGGTACTCTTACCCAATCAATCAATCTGCATAAAGGTCAACTGTTTAATCCACTGATATAACTCATTCTACTTTGGAAGTACCTACAAGTATTTATTTATTTACTTACTTATTTATTTATTTATTTCCTGCTGTTCAAAAGTAGTCTGAAAGGGACATATATCTTCCTCACGGTGCATGATGAAGCAGCATGATAACATACCCACATGGCACATGGCATGAGATACAGCAGTGCAGATATTATCAATATGCTCTGCTCTGTGTAATCAGTGGTTATCTGTATATTTAATCACAGGCATGGATTTCTGTGCTGAGTAGCTCACTAAATCTGCAAACATCAGCTTTTAGTGGGAAACTTACAACAAGCTTGTCAAAAAAAGAAATTAATCGGATGAGGATTGTATGTTTACAGCTTTTAACTGCCCACTTCAAAATAATAAAGATTCAAAATTGAAATCAATTTTATTCCAGCAAGTCCATACAATCACATAAAATTTGTCATAATGACTTTACACAAATTCAAATTCATTCTGTGGATTGTTTTAAAGCAAAACTTCAGAATTAAACATTTAAAAGAAACAGTATTTATAGAAAAGCAAAGTCACTAAAACCCACTGAAGCTTCTGCTCTTGTTTTTGTTCTGTACATTTTACTGCCAAGACCACGTGGTCAGCTTGTCATGCTGGGCATTGATTTTACAACAGGACGAGTAGAACTGATGTGATTGGTGGCCAGGGTTGCTATCAATAGATAGTCTAAGATTATGGATTTATTTAAGCTCCGCCTTCTTTACAGGTTCTTCCATGTGCATCCAGCCACATGCCACTGGCACATTTCCAACCCTTGAAATTGAGTCATGCTATAACTCTTTACCAGCATGCAGAGTCTGTAAGAAACCCTTCCTAGTACCAGAGCCCCCTACATTACTCAGTTTAAGAATAGTGGACTCTATTTCTTTCTCGATTATATCTGAGGTATGCAGCTGATCTTTGCCTTGCATTATGAATACTGTATAGCAGTCAAAGTGATTGTGGCAGAAATAGTGAGGAAAAAAGACTTCAGGACTTTTTATTTTACTTTCTTTTATTTACTTTGCTCCATCAGACTGTCTTAAGTCTAATTAATGTCTTCTTGTTTCCATCCCAAGATACATGTTTTCACGCTACTTGAAACTTGAATTATCCGAAATATTCCTTTTTAAAAAAAAACAAAAAAAAACGTTTTTTGGTTGTATTTTTCAATTGCAATTAAGGTTTGTGATTTCAGGACAAATCACATCAGAACAAGAATCAGAGACACTTTATTTAGACTTTTTTTTATTTGGAATTTCAGTCATTGCTCTTATAAAAAAAAAATAGCAATAAGAAATAAAGAATAAAAATTTAAATATGGAATAAATTAAGAACTGTAAATAAGAAATTTGTATTTGGAGAAATAAAGCTCTGTACATAAGTGCAACATGTTTAAGAAATAAGCTTTGTACAAAGCACACACAAAGCACAGGGAATTTAAGAAATTAACAATTTTATACAAAGCCCAGTGTTGAACAGCAGATACATTTGTTCAGAGTAAACCAATTATATAACCTCTGAGGGATCCTTCAAAATGTGACAGAATTGCAATCACAGGAGGAACTGCAACACTGCATGAAATATCTGAAGCTCAACGTGTTAATGTGTTATAACTGAAATCAAAATAAAGTGAATCTATGAATACGACATTTTTTAGACATTTTGGTTAATATTTATTCTGCAGAATGAATCATTACTGTGTGTTGAATTTGTTGCACTTAGTGTAAAATAAAATACCTCACTTGTAATGTTCATATGCAGCCTTGTGTTTATGATATTATTAAACTTTGACATACTCTTAATTTGAAAATATAAATATTGTATTTTATAATGTATAATGACGCATTCATTTGCACTAAAGCTTGCAGCAGTAGTGTTAGTAGTGTTTGCAATCCCTTCCCTGACGGTGTACTGACCTGCCAGTCAATGCAGTTGAGCAAACATTGGCTGAAAGTCCAGACACAATGAAGTCATGAACAGGGTATCTGTCGCTGTGTCATAAACCGCTGTGATTGTTCTTCAGCTTTATCTGGAGCTCACAGCTAGCACTTTAGACCAAACCTGAAAAACTTCACTGATTGGACCATTCTATGAAAAAAGATAAAAGTTTATCGTGTGTTGCACAGCATTTAGAGAAGTCATGTATGGATTCACATGCACTGAACATAATAGTTCACACATGCATGATCCCTTAAAGATTTGTGTGCTGAAATATCAAAGGCCACAGGTTCAGCCAGTCGTGGAAATTATGTAACATTGTTGGATTTATATATGCAGCAGAATACTTTTCTTATTGTGGACCTTTTTAATACAAAATATGTTAAGAAAGACTCAAATTCACAAGCAAGAGCTGGCATGAAGGTGCACAGCTAAGTTCAGTTACGTTTAGGTGAGGTGATATATTTTTTAATAGAGAAAGTATTGAGTCTGCAAACCAGAAGCATCTCCAATTAAATTCATTTTAATGGAAAAATCACATGGGCAAGTGCCCGAAATGTGATTTTTCCATTAAATTCAATTTGATT